GCTAACTGCTGGTTCCCAAAAAGTTTTTTTTTTTTCTCAAATGGTTTAAAGAGAGTTTAGATGATAAAAATAATTTTTTTATAAATTATTTTTATTTAACTTTATTTATTTATTTATTTATTTTAATTTTGATGAGAGAGCAAGTCACCAAGTCCGAGACTCAAACCATGGCCGGCCATGTGGGAGTCCAGTGTCCTTAACCACCATGATGCCTGCTGGCCCTGATAATATTAGTAATTTATATATAAACCGATTATTACTGTTTCATGGCATGTGAAGTATAAGAAATGTCCTATCTTTTTATGCTTTCACAGAAGAATCCAGTTTGAGCTCATACTCTATGAATGTGATGAGAAAAATGTCAAATCTGTAAGTTTAGGGGGATAAAGAGGGAGGGGGATGGAGAAGCCCTTCCCTCATACATACATGTATGCATGTATGTAGAGCATGCATACATGCTAGGGGCTTATTTACTGCATGCAAATGGAGGACAACCTGATCTTTAGGATTCATAGCTCTTTTGCCTTATGTTCTCTCATTACTTAGAGCAACTGTTGAGCACTCCTCGTCTGCCTGTTGGCATTCTGCTCCAGGCCGATTTCAGAGACACCCTACACAGCAGTCCTCCCCATAAACAACAGGAACGAGCTCTGAGGTGCCAAGCCTCTATGTTGGCCTGAGCCTCTCCTGGCACCTATGCTGCCATTCCTACACTAGATGGTGTGGCTTCAGGGGTTCTATAACTGACAAACACGTCGACTTCCTCCCTAGGTGTAATAGTCAGAATAAACTATATTATGATGTGGTAAGAAACAGGCCCGGATAAGAGCAGCTTAAATCAACAGAAGTTTATTTTCTTTCCTCTCTGGGGAGGCCTAAGATAGGAGCACCAATAGAAGCATGCATATCATATGTCAAAATATTTTAAAGTTATGAAGCAAGAGAATAAGCTGTTAAATGAAATCTGTTCTGCCCTGTTACCCTGAAAAATATAGCCTATAGCAACCTAAAAACCAGATCCGATTTAAAATTCTGAAACTCTTTGAAGTTCTCTGTGAAACCTGGTGATGGCCTACTTCTGGGTACCCTAACCCGCACATCCCAGCAATGTGAGGGTGCCCACCACCATCCTTCATATGGGGGATGGGGTAAAGCTGAAGACGATAGCATTCGAGCTCTGGACTCAGGCTTGTGGACATCTGGACAAGGACTTCTGAGGTCCCTGCTCTCCAACCCATGGAGGAGAATTCACAAATACAGAATCAGTAAACAATGTGGATTGTCCTTTTTGCTCTCTTTCTTTTATTTTTCTTATTTCTTATAAAAAATATCTTGAGAGAAATTGACAATGAAGTGAATAGAAAGGGCCATTTCTCTTGCATAGTTTCTTTGATCTCTGTTTATGATAAACATCTTTCCTTCAACCAATGAATGACTTGCTTTCTACAGAGGCATTAACTCTCCCAAACATTCCAGGGCAAAAGAGTCCAGAATTTAAGAATTCAGTGTTGAGTCACTCTTCTGAAATGGGAAAGGGACAATTCCTTTCCTGTTCCTTTTGCCAATAGATCTCTGGGTGGGAGAGAGAGAAGAAACTAGGCCCAGGCAATTCACATTCCTCAGTGATCACCACGTCACAGAAGTCACAGGGGAAGCACTAGTGCATTCACACTCCGCGGTTTATTTGGTCATCACCACCTTCTGGGGCAAGTAAGGTGGTAAGGGAGGGTGGAGTAGAGGAGTTGTTAAGATCTTCATTTTCAAATGGAAAATGAAAACCAAGGTTGAGAGAAAGATCAGAAGTAGCCAGGGACAGAGACTAGAAAAGGAAGAATCCCAGGAATGGTCTTCTGGTACACAATCTCTTTCAGGCTGTGTGTGCTCCTAAACATAGCCACATTGAAATCAAGGGAGAATCTCTAAATCAATAGGCGTTAGCCAGGCAGGGGGTTCTTAGCAGTTTAGCTGAGCTGTCAGGCATAAAAAACAACACAGGATTTTATGCAGTTGCTTGAGCATTCTTACCCCAGACTACCCTTCTCCCATGGTAGTTCAACTCCTTGATCTGGTGACATTTGCATAGTTCTTGAAGCTCTTGAAAGGCCTTGAGAGGATACAGATCTAAAAGGCAGTGACTCACTTTAGTAGATCAACTCCACTTTAGACCATGCAGTTGAATCATAGGCACAATAACTTACTGGTAAACAGAGTACCTGGACTAACTTCTATTTCTATTGGGGGAAAAGAAATCAAAACTTAAATAAGAGAAAAAGAGGAGACACCAAATATCATTTCATTTATAGTTTCTTTGATCTCAGTTTATCCTATGTAAACTTTTTTATTTTTATTTTTTTGAGAGTTTTTTTGCTATAGGGCACGTACACTCTCCAGATAGACAGAGATGGAGAGACAGAAAACGAGAAATCATCCCCCAGGGGAGATGGCCATGCCACAATCCCTTCTCCTCCATTCTCCTCTCGGGATCTTGGGCATGCACGCACACGCGCCTGGAGTGAATTTAAGCCACCGGGTCAGGGACTTGAACCGCAGTGAACTTCATGGGAGTTCAACGACATAGCCATTATTCTAACTGTTGGTCCCGGTATGTAAATGTCTTTCCTTCAACCAATGAATGACCTGTTGGCTGTGGACCACGTAATGTGCTAACAACTCCACATGCAATTCTATTAAATCCTCAGATCAGCCCCGTCTCCCTGGTGCTGTTCTCCTTCCATGCACGAGAAGGTTAAGGCTTAGAGAGGTTAATTAACCCAGCAAAATTCACACAGCTAATGAGCGGCCAAGCTGGGATTCAAATCCCTATCAGTCTATTCCTAAGGCCATGCACTTAATGAGATATTATCCTTAGCTCACTAGCAAGTTCATCATAATATTAATATGGATCTTGCAGGGCTGATGTGAAAATTGGAAGAGTCATATGATATATGTGAAAATTGTTTGGCAAACCATAAAACCCCTACACAAGTTCTGTGATTATTTCTCCTGAGTTTACACAGGACGGCCTTTGCTGTCCTTAGCGGCCGAGTCTATATTAATCCCATAATTCACTCTTAAAGCACCAGTGTCTTATTTGCCCAGCTTTTTCCACTGCCAAAGGGAAAGCAAAAATATGCCTTTTGTAAGGAAGGCTTAACACCTGCTGCCAAAGGGCGCTAGACCATCTGGATCGTTCAGAGGAATATAGACTTGCTTACAAAAGACATAGATTAATTTGGACAATTTTTAAACCAAGCATAAGGAGGCAAGCAACCCAGGGAAGGATAATCATGCTGAGAGTGGAAGCACTTATTATAAATAATTACCATGTAATTATCCACAACTTCTGTGGAGCCTATAGCCCGAGGCTAGTGTTCGGAGGTGCCCCTTCCTTATGAAGTGTAAGGATGCTGAAGCGCTTCAGTAAGTTGATCAGGGCCCGTGTCTGTGTCTTAGAGCTGAGTTACCACCAGCTGGGCCTACTTCTCCTGTAATGAAGCCTTCAGTGCTTAAGGCTAAGGTGCAGAACAGCTGTGGGGTTTCTTCAGCTGGGTCCACCACTCTCCCCCCTTCTGCTTTTAATAGCACAATGGCTTTCTGCAAGCATGTGGGCGACATATCTGACTTCTTTTCTTAAGCAAAGTGTTTATTGAGCCAGTTAATACACTACGCAGGCTATGACATTTCTCATTTCGTGGGCTTGCGAGCTGCCTTTTCATGCTGTGAGGCGGCCTCATTGAAGGCAAGTAACACCACTTAAACAGAGCAATGGTAGAAACCTTGACAAGCGCAGGGAGACAGCAGACACTTCCAAGAGGGACATGATTGCTTACAAGGTTAATCAATGCCTCTTGTTTCCATTCCAGCCTCACATTTATCTTGGTGGCAACAGCTGCGAATGTAAAATCAAACCTCTAAACCTAGACAATTGAAATTGCATTTACCTGCTCAAAATGTGTAAACAAGCTTTTTTTCTGTATCTTCTTAATTGGAATTTAAGGAGTACTGCAAAGCTCTGGCTACAGGTCACTGGAGAGGCAGGCTTTCGTGTGGTGTCCAGATACAGCTCAATACCTTAGATGAGATCATTGAAAAGAACTTCAGTCTGTCGTGGTCATCGTTTCAGGCGTGATTGTTACGACCATCATTATTACCACTGTAGCTGCTGTTTATTTTTATTTATTTATTGAAAATTTTTTTTGGAGAAGTTTTTGCTATAGGGCACATGCGCTTGCCAGAAAAAGAGAGAGACAGAAAGTGAGAAATTGCCCCCTGGGAGGATGGCCACGCCGCAATCCCTTCTCCTCCATTCTCCTCTCAGGATCTTGGGCACGCACGCACATGTGCCTGGCGTGAGTTTAAGTCACTGGGTCTGGGACTTGAACCACGGTCGACTACATGGGAGTTCAGCGACATAGCCATTACGTTAATGGCTATTAGTCTATTCCTAAGGCCATGCACTTAATCAGATATTACGCTAACTGCTGGTCCCTGTAGCTGCTGTTTATTGAGCTGCATATGACAAACACTTAAATGTACAATCCCATTTTATTCACTTAATATTTCAAAGTAACTAATATTATTTTTACCATGAATGGATGAGAAAACAAAGATTATATAACTTGCTTGAGGTCACAGGTGGCAGGTTCTAGATTTAAACTGGGTCCAATTCATGCTCCGAAACCATCAGGGCTTAACAAGCCAGAACCTCCCAGGGAAATACAGGTGCAAAGAACATAAAATCATCTGGACTGATTAACCTATGAATTTATTTATTTAGAAAAGGCAATCAGAAAAGAAGGCTTAACCAAATTCTGCAAATCTGTTCTTTTGTCTCTCTTGAACTACTCTTCCTAGGAGAAAGGGGCTGAAAATCATACTTGGAGCGCTTCAATCCCCTTACATAAGGGATCAATAGATTAATCCTTCAACTATTATGTTGATTATAGTCAATAGACGCTTGGGAACAAATGCTTTGGAAAGCATCCCTCTATAAAGCATTAGCAATGTTTTGCCAGAGATATTAAAGACATTACTGAGAAGTATAGAGAAGAAAAACATTTGTGGCTAAGGGAAGAGCCACCCTAAACCCTTAGTGTCCCACGCTCCTGGGGCTCACCTGCACACTCCACAGGTGATGTCCTTCCTCACACCATGGCCTCCAGACAGAATTTGCTTATGGGATTAACTAGATGTGCCTCTTTAGAGGCCACAGTCATTGAAGAATGGATTTAAGCAAAACAGGACATATGTCCTGTATTGGAAATATACAGACACGTTCCTTTTTGCCCATCTCATGTTCAGTTGTCCCCAAACCTTCTCAATGGATCTGAACATCTGAGTTGTACCATCCTTTCCATAGAAACTATTGAATAGCGTCACC